GTGTTAACTGTTGTAAATAGTGCTTCTATGAACATTGAGGTGCATGTATCTTTTTGAATTAGAGTTTTCTCTGGATATATGCCCAAGAGTGGGATTGCAGGATTATATGGTAACTCTGTTTTTAGTTTCTAAGGAGTTTTTTTTTTTTTTAAGGAATCTCCATACTGTTCTCCATGATGGCTGCACCAGTTTACATTCCTACCAACAGTGTAGGAGGTGTCCCTTTTCTCCACACCCTCTCTAGCATTTATTATTTGTAGACTTTTTGATGGTGGCCATTCTGACCAGTGTGAGGTAATACCTCATTGTGGTTTTGATTTGCATTTCTCTAATAGTTAGTGATGTTGAGCATCTTTTTATGTGCCTGTTGGCCATCTGTATATCTTCTTTGGAGAAATGTCTATTTGGGTCTTCTGCTCATTTTTTGATTGGGTTATTTGTTTGTTTGTTTGTTTGTTTTGGTATTGAGCTATATGAGCTGTTTGTATATTTTGGAAATTAATCCCTTGTCAGTCACATCATTTGCAAATATTTTCTTGCATTCTCTAGGTTGTCTTTTTGTTTTGTTTATGGTTTCCCTTGCTGTGCAAAAGCTTGTAAGTTTGATTAGGTCCCATTCATTTAATTTTTCTTTTATTTCTTTTGCCTTGGGAGGTGATCTAAGAAAATACTGCTATGATTTTTGTCAGAGAATGTTTTGCCTATGTTCTCTTTTAGGAGTTTTATGGTGTCATGTTTTGTATTTAAATCTTTAAGCCATTTTGAGTTAATTTTTGTATAGTGTGAGAGAGTGTTCTAACTTCATTGATTTACATATGGCTTTCCAGCTTTCCCAACACTGCTTGCTGAAGAGACTGTCTTTCCTCCATTGTATATTCTTGTCTTCTTTGTCAAAGATTAATTGATCGTAGGTGTGTGGGTTTATTTCTGAACTCTCTGTTCTGTTTCATTGATGTATATGTCCGTTTTTGTGCCAATACCATGCTGTTTTGATTACTATAGCTCTGTAGTATTGTCTGAAGTCTGAGAGGGTTATGCTTCCAGTGTTGTTCTTTTTCCTTAGGATTGCTTTGGCAATTTTGGGTTTTTTGTGTTTCCTTATAAATTTTAGCATTATTTGTTCTAGTTCTCTGAAAAATGTCCTGGGTAATTTGATGGGGATCACATTAAATCTGTAGCTTGCTTTGGGTGGTATGGCCATTTTAATAATATTAGTTCTTCCAATCCAAGAGCATGGGATATCTTTCCATTTCTTGGAGTCATCTTTAATTTCCCACTATGACAAACTCACGGCCAATATAATACTCAATGGTGAAAAGCTCAAAGCCTTCCTACTAAATTCTGGAACAAGACAAAGATACCCACTCTCACCACTTTTATTCAACATAGTATTGGAATCTCTAGCCACAGCAATCAGACAAGAAAAAGAAATAAAAGATATCCAAATTGGAAAGGAAGAGGTAAAATTGTTATTATATGCAGATGGCATGATACTCAATATAGAAAACCCTAAAGACTCAATACAAAAACTATTAGAACTGATAAATGAATTCAGCAAGGTAGCAGGATACAAGATTAATGTACAGAAATTTGTTGCATTTCTTTATACTGACCATGAAATATCAGAAAGAGAAAATAAAAAAAACCCAATCTCATTTAAATATACATCAAAAAAACCCCTCCCAAAAACCAAACCTAGGAATAAACCTAATCAAGGAGGTGAAAAACCTATAAGCTGAGAACTATAAAAGTGACTTCTGCTGCCTGTCTTTGGAGGGGAGCTTCACGTGACTAGTAACATTTGATAACACGTGGCTGATGCTTGGGTGCTGCCACGCAGGCTAGTGTTGTGGATGGTCACACATGTCTCCAGTGACCCTCTATCATGGGATGGCTTTCATTTGATGGGTCCCATCACAGTGTTTGAGCAGGGCTAGGATGGAAAGTACTGCTTCATTAGGAAGATGTGAGTGTTCCCATGGTTTACAGCCGCCGCCCAGAAGTTCCTTTCGTGTCGGCTGCCACCTGTCACTCAGCCTTGTCCTCATCCCTCCTGCATGTGAGTCATTTTCAACGTCTAGTTAAACTGCCACCTTACTCCCAGTGGTCATCGCATTGAGTTGCTTTTCAGAAACACAGAAGTCAATTTGCGTATTTTCACAGCCTTATAATTGCACAAAGGCACATATTATGAGATGCAGATGTGCCCACCACCAGAAAGGCTTCATTTTAGAGAGAACTGTCAGAGAACCTGCTGAAATACGTGAAGTGCTAAATTCAGGAGCTGTCTCCAGGATGGAAGGCCGACGTGGAAGGTTCCAGGGCTCTGCTGTTGCAAGCTGCCATTCTTCCTCAGGCCTCATGGCATAGGACATTCAGCCAGCAAGGAGGGGCTCGAAGATATGCTTTCCCTGAAAGAACCTTCTGAGTAGTGTGGTCTCAGTGTGAATTTCTATAGATTGAGGGAAATCAGGCAAAGTAATTTCAGATGTTTTGAGCCAGTCTGGTAGCTCTGACAGTCATGGTCTTTCTGAATGAAGATACGCCAAAGCTGTGAAGCTGGTGGTCACTAATGTGACTCCTGGTGTCCTTGCAGTCACCTAGCTGTCACCCCAGAGGGGCCCAGCCAGGGCTCCTTTGTCTTGGTGCTGAAGGAAGGCTCTCCTCAAGGTCTCCTGCACCCTTCTGAGGCTTCTGGCCTTTCCTTCCGTTTGACAGCGTTATACACTTGGTTCCATTTATTTATTTTATTTTTATTTTTTTGGGTGGTGTGGCAAATCCATTTTATTGCTGACAAACTATGTATTCTTTTCCGGAATGAGTGTGCCACTTTACATTCCCACCAGCAGCATGAGAGTGATTGAGTCTCCCCACATCCTCACCGGCTGTTTGGTGTTATCACTGCTTTTTACTTCAGCCGTCTGATAAGTGTGGAGTAATGTGGTTTTAATTTGCATTTCACTTGGTTCTGTTTAAGTTGGGTTCACGTTTTGGTTCCCCTCCACAGCAGCTACACAGATGTATCTTGGGCAGAGACTGGGTGACGTGGACCCTCTCACCCAGCACAGATGTGCTGCAGGTGCACGGGGCCGAGTCCCGGTGGGGCTGACATACCTGTTCTCTTTCAGATGCCTCCGCTTCCTGTGGTCCCCCCCATCGCTCCACTGGCCACCGTCGACAGCCTCCCTGCAGCCCTCCCTGACCTGCCAGCCACCAGTGGGCCCACCGTGCCTCCCCCCTCTCAGTATTTCTCCCCGGCTGTCATCTTGCCAAGCCTCCCACTCAACGCGGCCACTGCCCCGCTGCCCGTGTCGCCGGCCCTGCCTCTGCAGGCGGTTAAGCTGCCCCACCCTCCTGGGGCGCCGCTGTCCGTGCCCTGCCGGACCATAGTGCCAAACGTGGCGGCCACCGCCACCACCATCCCTCTGCTGGCTGTGGCCCCACAGGGCGTGGCTGCCCTGTCCATTCACCCCACCGTGGCTCAGCTCCCATCCCAGCCCGTGTACCCGGCAGCCTTCCCACAGATGATGCCCAGCGAGGTCCCGCCTTCTCCTCTCCACGCAGCACAGACTGTGCGGGCTGCCCCTCCGCAGCCGGCACCCCCCATTCTGCCACAACCCCACCAGCCAAGTGTCGCCCGCCTTCCGGAGCAGGCTCCTCCGGCCGCCGGCGCTGGGAGCCAGGTAACCCACCTGCTGGCCAGGACCCACCCTCCAGGAGCTGGGAGACCCCTTAGTATGCAAGGGGTTCACAGACCTCTGCTCCTCAGCACCTTGCCCCCGCAGTACGGTGGGAGCGGACAAGCAGGCAGGGCTGTCCCCTGTCATCCAGTGTGTGTGTGTGGGTGTCTGCTGCCTCCTCCTTCCTCCAGCACGGGTTAGGAACCTCAGGAATTGGAGTGGCCAGAAGCTCCAAGGCTGGTTCTTTCCCAAGTGTCAGTAGCAGCTGCTTGTGGTGGAGGGGCCCCTGGCCGCGCTGGGCATCGTGGCACCTGCCCTCACCCGGGTGGGGTTGGCAGCCTTGATGCAGCCCCGTCAGCCTCTCCACGGGTTTCGGGGAGGCTCACACTACCTGTTGTGTTACTGTCCAAGTGAAGTGGGTGGCTTACCCCCACTTCAGCAACCAGGAACTGAGGCACATGGCGGTCTGAGGGGGGTCTGCTGGTTGTGGACTGGGTGGTGCCGGGGGTATATGGGCTGCTGGTTCCAAGGTGCTCGTGGTAGACAAGGATGATCTCACAGTCATGTGGGGGCCATGGGCAGCTTGCTGGGCTGGCAGTGAAGGGATACAGGGACACACACCCTGCTGTATGAGTGGCCCCACACACCTGTGTGGCCCATGCGTGTTCTGGAGCTCCAGGGCTGTTACCAAACCTCAGGTGAGGAGAGGAGCTTGCGTGGGGCCTCTCATCTTGGCAGTGGTAGCGGGGGACCTCTCCTCTTGGTGGGGGGCGCTCTCTCCTTGAGGGGATTCTCACTTGGAACCCCTCCCACCCTGGGGCTGCTTACCTGGGGCCCTCCCACCTGGCCCAAGCCTGGCTCTAAGCGTCAGCAGCTTGCGCCTGTGGGCATGTCCTTTGCCTTTTGAGCTCAGGCTTCTCCCCTGTAAGATGGGGCTGAGAGCTTTTAAAGGAGGGAACCGTAGGGAGTCAGGCCCTGCTCCTGAGTTGCCCTGTGGAAGGCCGAGGTGCACAGCCCCCCCTTGCACATGGCTGGGATTGGAACCCAGGCTGTGACCTGCCAGGAGGCTGGGATGGCGTAGTTGGTACCATGGCCCTGAGGGCAGTGGCTGGGAGCTCGTGACTGGTGCTAACTATATGCCACCCTTCCAGCTTCGCAGGCTGACTCAGCTAGAGGTTCATAAATGAAGTGCAGTTTTAGGTTTGATTTTATACGAATGGGGACCCGAGAATGCCTGTTCTTGTTCGTTTCTGTTAAATCCGCATGCAAACATGCGGGGACCCCCAGGATCTGCAGGGTGTGGGTGGATGAGGGGGATGTCCGCATTGCCTGTACCCTGTGGTGTGCTTACCCACCTGGGTGGTGGAAGCGCCTGCTTTGGTCCAGGATCCCCAGGGAAGGGGACGGCTCTGTACCCCAACTTGCATGCCTGTCCCCTGTGCCCCCAGATCCTGCGTGGCCACCCGCCTCCGTACGCCGTGGATGTCACCACCCAGGTTGCCAGCCAGGTCCCCATGGTGCCTG